GCCGATTAAACGTAGAAATAGGAAACCTAGAAATATAGTATAGACGCTGAATAGTAATACTCGAGCGTCGCAACATGCAGACGTTGGTACGTGTAGGTTAGTCTACAAACATCGCCTAAAGTTTGAATTTACCCGGCAGAACGAAAGAAGGAAACTCCGCTTTTCAGTCGTCTCTACGGCCCTTGTTTTTTGACAAACAATGACCTTTCAGAGGTCAAATTGCTGTCAAGAATATGAATTGGCTGCTTTGCAGCAAAAATATACATTTTGGTATAATAATAATTAAATTACAGGTGTATGTAATAATTATACTTCTATTTATCGTCAGTAATTTTGTAAAATTATTCTATACATTTATATTCTTACATTTTTTGTCTAATGCTCAATTTTATAATTTATGTATAATCTGTATCTAGTTTGTTGGGGGGGACCCTTTCTAAAAGAAGCCTACAGTAGCAGCTTAAATGGTTATCCTCTGTTATCCATTTTGTCTTATTTGTCAATGTTTTGCTTTTGGGTATTGAAATAATTTTTTGTTTTTTATAAAATATAAATTGTTCTTTTTGTATTGAATGGATAACAATATATATTATACTAAACTATACTCTCCACCAAGCAACTTAGAATGTGGATAACTTTAGAATAGATAGAATAAAGAAAAGATGGAAAAGAGGTAAGGATAATATAGAAAATCAGAATTACTGTTTTTGTTTGTATTAATGTATAATTTGCAATTAACCAAACTAATATAAATCTTATACTTTTGACTAGGTAATTTGTAAAACTAATCCATGCTGTTTTCCATTTTCAACAAATCAATATATATAAAAAATAAATAATTTTTCTTTTCATCAAGAGATAGATTATGCATTATAAGTGCTGTTTTATTATTACTTGTTAAAGTTCAAAGATTATGACCTTGATTGCACTAACCTGGGAGTCACTGTCCATGCTACTGTATGATTGATAAAGCTTGGATGAATGCTGTACTCCATACTTATCCTTGTAAACAACCTGTATATTGAGGCATGGGAAGGTCCCTTCAGTACATAACTCTTTATCATCATACTCAGTGTGACAGTTGCACTTGCTGTACTTGTTTCCCCAGGTCACTGAAGTGCTGTTGCACTCTGTTGTTTCGTACTTCGATTCGTGACTGTATGGGCCGACTACTGCCACACTTCCGAAAATGAGGATTGCAATGGCGACAGTGAAGGTGAGCATGGATGTAACAAGACAACACACCTTTCGGCAGGAGGATGGGCGGGACTGGTGCACTACGATTACTTGAGAACCCATTCTACTAACAAAACAAAATTTTGTTCTTGTAAATATACTGTATTTCTTACATGCATTCATTATTACTGTAAGTATTTTAAATTTACCTATATAATAAGCATTAAATCTAAAAAATACAATTACAAGGTGTGAAAATAATACCACCATCATCAGTAAAAATAACAAAAATATAAATTTAATAATATTAAAGTATTAATTAATAACAATAAAAGTTATAACAACTAGAGCAGTCACTCCATATAGTGCAGTACTCTACCTCCTCCGCCCTGCGCCTGAACACTGGACAATACACAGGCTACAGTATGTGTGGGTGATGCTATTATTAGCTTATGCTAGAAAGTATAGTATGAATGAAAACAAATTGAATTCCTGTGACCTTTGACTTTTTCTTTCCAAAACCTAATCACCTACTTCTTAGATTTGTAACATTCCACTAAATTTATGATAATCCATTCCTTAGTTTTTCCGTAAGGCAGACAGACAGCGGTGAATACAGTACATCTGTAGCGATAACAACTTCAACAATAAAAATAGCAATAACAACAACAACAATAATGGTAACTTACACTGAAAATGCACAGATTAACAACCAATCATCCTTTAACTCACTGTAGCATTTGAATATAATTTTTTTAATGACCAACGTGTTAAAATATACTGTATATTAATTATTGTAATTATAATTGTTATATAAGGTAAGGTTATATAAGGTGAGGTGTAGAAACAAAGTTACTGCAGAGGTTAAAAATGCACAAGCTACATTTGAAGCAAAACTTGCATTAGAATCAAAGGTAAATCCCAAGGCTTTTTGGGCTTATATCAAAAGTAAAACAAAGGTTAAGGATCATATTCCTGATATTCTTGATGAAAATAATGTGCTAGTCAACACTAGTAAATCAAAAGCAGAAGTGTTTAATAATGCATTTGCTAGTATGTTTACAGATGAGTTTCATGATCCTCCGGTTTTAGATAATATGGATGTGCCTGGTATAACTTCTAAAGAGTTCACAGTTGAAGAAGTGGTAAATCATTTTAAGAGTTTAGACATTACAAAGTCTCCCGGTCCCGATGGGATTCATTCTAGAGTACTGATTGAAGTAGTTGAGGTACTTGGAGAATTGATAACTTTGTTGTTTAATAGGTCTTTAAGAGAAGGGATTGTTCCTGATTCGTGGAGACAGGCTAATGTTGTGCCTTTGTTTAAAAAAGGAAATAAAAATAATCCTTTAAATTATAGACCTGTGAGTCTTACTTCTGTAATTTGAAAGTCTATGGAAAAGCTGGTTAAAAAGTCAGACTTTATGAGTATTTGGAATCTAATAATTTAATTAGAGAAGAGCAACATGGTTTTCGCTCTGGTAGATCTTACACTACTCAATTACTGGAAGTAGTTTATCAGTGGACTCAATGGCTTGATAGTGGTTTGTCGTTTGATTGTGTTTACTTCGATTTTCAAAAGGCATTTGACAAAGTTCCTCATCGTAGGTTATTGTAAGTCTTATGGAGTATCTGACAACTTGTTGAATTGGATTGTGGCATTTTTGAAATAGGAAACAGAGAGTGGTCGTTAATGGTGTTAGTTCTGGATGGCAATTGGTGTCTACCAGTGTTCCTCAAGGAAGTGTCCTTGGACCTTTATTATTTTTAGTTTTTATTAATGATTTACCCGAAACTGTTTCTGATTCATTTATAAAGTTTTTCGCGGACGATACTAAGCTGTTTAGATTTGTCAATTGTGAGACTGATCGTGAGATTTTACAGGGGATGTAAAATGCTTTATACTGTACCGGTGGTCGATAGACTGGCAATTGCCATTTAACTTAACAAAATGCAAGATCATGCATTATGGAGTTAAAAATGTTAATTTCAAATATTTTATTGGTACTGGTACATCAAGATGTGAAATTGTACGTGTTAAGGAGGAATCAGATCTTGGTATTCTATTTGATGATAAGTTGGATTTTTCTAAACACTCTGTAAAGGTTGCAAGAGCAGCAAATAGAAGATTGGGTCTGATCAAAAGAGCATTTAAATCTCTTGATGGTAATGGTTTTTTTGCAATGATTCATCCTGTGATAGAGTATGGTAGTTGTGTCTGGAATTCTATAAATATAAAAAAGATTCTGATTTATTAGAGAAGGTCCAACAATGCTCCACCAGATTGATTAGAAGTCTGAGAGACAAAGCTTATGTGGAGAGACTTAAGGCTCTTAATTTGCCAACACTGTTATTCAGAAAAAAAACGAGGAGATGTCATTCAGACCTTTAAGATTTTTCAAGGTATTGATCTTTTGGACCCTGAGCACTTGTTTACAGATTATTCTATAGCCAGAGGCCATGTATATAAGTTGTATAAACAGAAATTTAAACTTAATGTTAGGAAAAAAGCATTCGTTGTTCGAGTTACTGACGATTTGAACTCCCTTCCTAGTAATGTGGTAAATCAGAGTTCAGTAAATCTTTTTAAAGCGGGCTTAGAGAAAGTCTGGTCTGGCCACAACCTTAAATTTTGCCCGTATATGACCGAAGAGGATTCAACAATGATTGAGGGACAAATGAGCTTTGATCTCTAAATCTCGAAGATTCAAGGTAAATTCAAGGTAAATAATTTTTAATTATACTTGTCCTTGACATTTTTGTATCTATATCGATTTATCTTGTGTAATTCTTTTGTATGCTTTTTAAATTTTTCTTGAATGTCCTGATGTTTTGTTATTTTTGATGTTCATTTTTGATGTTTATTCTATGACAAATATTGTAATATCCAATATTTCCCTCTGATTGCAATAAAGATTATTTAAATTATTATTTGAATTGTAATTAAATAATAAAAGAAAAAGATTTACAGGTACAGTATCCCCTCCAATTTTAATCAATCGATTCCACACAAGGGGGTCACACTAACAACCTTTACTGCATTTAAATACACTGCCAATTACATTAGTGCATATTGTCAAAAGCTAACACAATTTTTTCCAAGTATGGTTGGCAATTGAGTGTTCTTAATAATAAAGAAATTTGATGTACAAAAAGATTCCTTCAATTTAGTCTGAAAGCAAAGTACTGTACAAAACTAGCCATCACAGTAGAAGGGATATCAAACACATTGTGATGTCAGTACTCTCCTTTATCAAAAAAATCAACCAATCATGAAACCAACTTTTCAACTGTATCTTCAAGCTGTAGAATGCTCCAGTGAACAATTTATGTCCATCATTTGAAAACATAAATTTGGTTGGTTGATGTGTTACAGTACCTTTACAATACAATTTTCAGGAAACCATTAAACCAGATATAGGATGCATATAACTATAAAAGCAGTGGATTTTTTTGTGCGACAGGAAAGAAAGCTAAATGTCTGCGGAAATGTATGTGTCTAGATGATGAAAATCAGACAGACATTTAATGAATTCTTTTCTTAACTTATAATCAACCTGTTAATTACAGTACCGTGAAAAGTTTGTGTCTGTTCGTGAAAACTATAATAAACACAGCATATGTTGTTTACACGTAGAGTGAAGTTTGTGTCTCTTCATGAAAACGGTGCGCACTGTACGCGCACCCTTTGTTAAGGCACAAACTTGCACAAACTGTATTTAGCTACGGTGTTAACCATTGTAGTCAAGGGCGAAAACAGGCCTACAATCTCAGCTTATCCTGCTTTAATCATTATGTTTTTATGAATAATTCCACATTTGATGCACGTGTATTAGACCTATCCCAAGTTATACTGCAAGAAGGGTACCGGTATGCCTAGGCTACTTTTTACATCTACTGTAGCCCTAGCCAAGCTAGGCATTACCTAGCGATTACAACGAGTGCAATGCCGCACGCGGGTCTTTTAATAACCCAATGAAGGTTTGTGTCTGTTCGTGAAAACGAAAAATCGGTTTGTGCGCAACAGCCAATTAGCTTAATTAGCTAATTAGTGTAGCTGCACTCTTAAATATTAGATGAAAAGTTTGTGTCTCTTAGTGAAAACGGTGACAAATTGGTGCATTCATTTACTTTTGGGTTTTGTTCAATGTTAATAACCTTGAAAATTTAAAAAGGATTCCCCCTAGTTGTCCACAATTCTTTTAATTCTTAATATTTTATCTCAATATTTTCTCTTATCCATAGTCATAACATATCATTACAGAACAAGTTTACATGACCCAACTCACAAAGCACCTTTTTCAACATAAAAATACTATAATAAATACAGCCTTGATTACAAACAAGAACATGAACGATTAACCATATGCTCTAAAAAAAAAAGATGGTATTGTGTAGGATGCCACATTTTGTTGTCAGTATGGTGGGAAAATTCTAAGCATTGATAGTTACAAATCGCGATGGCGGCCAACGGACGCATCTCACAAGGAGAATCGGCGGAACACCACCTGCAAGCAGGGCAAACCTTATGATTACACAGGCTTGTGATTATGCGGCCCTGACACTGTGGAGATTCGGACTTGCTGGCCATGATGTCACAGCATACAAACTCTACTATAAAAATTTCCCATAATCGGAAGGTGCTTCTATTTCGTTAGATCGAAAAAGAATGAGGTTGTTGTACTTGGTGCCAGGAGTTGACTATTCTATTATTTTTCGAGGGGCGTTTCTTGTGTGAGAAATAAAAGGCAATTAGTCAGTTTATCCAGGTAAGTATTCACGAAGTAGACGGGAAAATACCAATCCAAATTATAAGAATGCCATTCAATAGTTTCAAAATTTAAAGCCCCATTCCCGGCAAAATTTCAGTTTTTAAGAAAAATCCAATTTTTGTATAATGTTATAAAGATTTATAAATATAATACGGAATTGCTAGTTTAAATGAATTTAGACATTCCTAAAGAATGAAAAAAATGTAAAATAAGACTGAAATTTGATTTTTTGTGTTCCACACAAAAAATAAATGCGGATGAATTTTTCATGTTGATTTTGCGATAGGTCGTGAGGAGAAATATCGTAGGCGCCGAAAACATTAGCCTATCCAATGCTGCTTGGCTAGGCCTAGCCTTACCTCGATTTAGGTTCTGTTATCACACATAAAAACGGCCAACATGATATTTTCCGTTGCTAGTATTGACACTTGTGAATATAATATTTCACAGGAATTATTTCAAATTTGTTAAAAAACTGATTCTGACTGAGATTTTGACACTTAAACAAACAAATCTCAGCCTAACNNNNCTGTCTCTTATACACATCTAGATGTTAGAGAGGGCGCACTTTATTGACTGTATAAAGTATAAATAAAAGCGAGAGTATTCCAGTGGATGCGATCTACAACCTCTGAATTTGCCTAGTAACGATGAATTCGTCGAGAAAATGGTAATATTTTACATGTATGAGAAATAGTCTGTATTTCTCATTTTTTTTATTCTGTTGCGTAAAACTAAAATTCATGCCAATATTTTTCCATGATTTATAATAATTGGAGTAATGCAAATGCATATTTTCTAAAAAAAGTCAATTTTTAGTGAAATTTTGCCGGGAATGGGGCTTTAAGAAATGAAAAAAATAAAAACTTCTGGCAATATATTACCGATTGTAAAATAGCAGCAGCTCGTCGCAGATAATCTGTATTTATTAGGTTTTTTTTTTTGTTAAAAAAGGTACTTTTATGACTTGTGAGTAAATGTTGGATCATGTAAACATTTTTGATAATGATATTGAACATTGAGGTAAAAAAATTAAGAATTAAAAGTTAGGTGTAACAGCTCATTAGTGCCATTCAGTCTTCAAATCATCTGGGCTCAATTTAGGCCTACAGTAGGCCCTAGGTAGATATATGAAACAAAATCTGATTGAGTGCAGTTTAACTTACTTACTTACTTGATACTTAACAAAACAATTATCACGACACCAAATCGTAAGTACGAATGGGGCCTAAGAATTACAATCCAAAAAGGAGTTGACATCCTGTTAAGAGAGAGGATATGTCACCAGGAAATCACCGTACCTGGTATTGGGTATCGCGGATCTAGCTGTGCCACTGAAAATGAATGACAATGCGGTAGGCTACCTTTTCATATGATACTGCTGGCCACTAGGCTACGGAGCCTAGCCTGGCCAGACAGAACAGGCCTCGTCAAAACCATTGATTGTAAGCATGTTTATTGTCATAAAAACGTAACACCTAAACATCACACAATATAGTAATGGAATAACCGGAATTAGCTTTTACCTGTACGTACTGTGCCTTCTGGGGCTGATCCTTGATTGATAACAAAAGTGTACAAACTTGCTCAACAACCGACTTCTAACGTGTAACTAGCTAGGCTTGTTATCTATTTCTGCGTTTCCCTTCTTGCTTCTCTTAGCTTTCCTTGTCAAAACCTCGATATGGTTTCGTCACGTGGCTATATCGTCACTGGATTCGATGTCGAGTCCTAGCACGCCAGAATAATCATGCACTGCAGGATAGCATAAAACTTCCCATAATTAGTAATAAGACAGCTGACGATAATACTGTAGACCAAAAAACACTAACACCTCCTAGTGGCCGCCATCTTGAAATTCAAAATGGCCGCCAAAATATTTGATTTTTATGAATAGCATATCTCCTGGAATATTTTCATTTAGACAGCACCTAGCACCAATGCTGTAGCCAGGATTTTCAAACAGTGCAGGACAAGGGTGGACCCGCAACGCGTAAATACAAATAATATGTGGACCCATTTTCTTAAAAGTTGACCCATTTTACGCAAAAAAATTGAAAAATTTGAATTGAACCCATCTTTTTAAACTTTGTACCTATTTTAAGCTAAATAAGAAATCTGGACCCATTTTTCAAAAGTGGAATCATTTTATGCAAAAAACTGCATAATCTGGACCAGGGACGTAGCCAGGATTTTGAAAGGGGGGGAGCCGTTATGCGAATTACGTAGGACCCCGGCGGGGTCAAATCCCCTGTGAAGTAGCGCACTCTGAACGTTCTTAGGACTGTTAGAGAGGATAAAGTGAAAATTGCAATAGACGCATTATAAATAACCGCAAAAATAATTATATAATAAATCAACAGTGGCAGAATTCGAAAGAGAGGTGAACCAGGGAGGGACATTCACAGACTGAAGAACCACTCACCTCAGCCCCACCATGGTTGGGGCTGAGGTAAGAAAATTTATGATTAGGGCATCTCTAGACGGCCGGAAATTACACTCTCGCACTTCAATATGAATATATATTTCTTTTTTTTTTCTTAAAAAAATGAAGGGGAGGTGGGCCTTGATTCCACCTCATGCTCAAAACATTCTTTATCCAGAATAGCCATAATCACGAAAAATGGACATGAAAAACCAGATCACATCCTAAAAACAAACAGCAGCCACTAAGACATACATCAGGAGCCGACTCGATGGAGTTCAATGTCATACCCAGGGAAGGGCACAGATTTGTTTTGAAAGGTGGAGGGCATTTTGTGAGTCGATACCGACCTCAGCCCCACCATGGTTGGAGCTGAGGTGAGAAAATTTGAGGAAATTGTACCTCTAGATGGCCAGAAATGACACTTTAAGTAAATTCATCATCATCATATCACCATTAGTCAAAATTAAGCGCCAAAAAAAATTCTCATGATCTTTTATCAGCGATTTTTGACAACCATAGAGATCTTATTAATGTGTGTGATATACCACAGAAAACAAAGCTTAAAAACATTGTATTTGAATATGTACTTTACATAGGCCTACTTCAAAAACGTGATTTCACAACCACCTCAGCCCCACCATGGCTGAGGTGAGAAAATTTGAGGAAATAGTATCTCTCGAGATGGCCGGAAATGACACTTTTATATAGTAAAATTCATCATCACATCACCATTATAGTCAAAATGAAAGGCCAACAAATTTCTCATGATCTTTTATCAGGAATCTACTTAATATCCAGGACAACTTAGGCCTAACTATAGCTTACTAAGCTTTAACTATATATACTATATTATGATCAACAAATCACAACTTTTTGTCTTCACTTTTTATTGCTATTAATATTATTATCAATTATTACTATCGTCATCATCATCATCATCATTGTTATTATTATTACTACTATTAGTAGTAGTATTATTAAACAAAAATTTAAAGAAACTTGGAAAAGGATAAAAACGAAATTGAACCACAGTATCGCATTTCTATCTTAAAAGACCTGGCCTGAGATTTATGGATTTAAGATTTT